CCCCAAAACCCCAAAACCCCAAAACCCCATGAATTAAAAATAAAGGGATATTATAAAATTAAGAAATGAATAAAAAGCTTATATCAGATGATCTTTATGTGGATGAAAAGCTGAAGAGGATGAAGCCAATAAATGATATAGATATGACAATCGAGGAGTTGGAAAGCGAATAAGAACCCATTACATCCAGACTTGAAGCAGAGGCTGCATTAAGAAAAGTAGGGGTTCATACATTAGGCAAAGGAGCAGGTGAAATAATGCTTTTGGCTGCTGCTCATGGTTTGATTAACGTTATAAAGCACTTTGAAGGCCCAAACAATCCTCTCACTTATAAAAATAACTTTGGAGATACTCTGCTTCACTTCGCTAGCAAGGGAGGCCAGGCTAAGATGGCATTATATTTGCTTCACAAAGGAATCCACCCAATGGTTTAAAATAAGTTCAATGAAACCCCTATTTTCTTAGCGGCTGAGGCAGGCCATGTTGATGTTGTCAATATTTTGGCCAAAGATTAAAGAACAAACCTTGAGCACCAAGATAAATTTGGAGATACAGTATTGCATTTCGCTGCAAGGGATGGCCAGTTAGAGATATGTGACTTTTTAATGAAGAAAAACAAGAAAATTGCAAGGATAAAGAACTAAGAGGGTAAGACTCCTCTGACTTATGCACTCGACAATGCTCAGAGTGCAGTTGCTCAGTGTCTCAGAAATTATGATGCTTAAGCGACATATGGCGATCGATAGGCTATGATTTAAGAATTAGCAATAAAAATGATGAATGAATTCCCTGATTACAAGAAGAGCATATTCAAGCATGCTCCATCAAAGATTACTCTTTTTGGAAAGAAACAAAACAGAGATGAATTGATAGCTGAGCAGAACAGACTCAAATAAGTAGCAGATAATATGAGAAGAATAAGAGAAGAAAATCAATGAAAATATAATAATAATATCTGTTGCATTAGCTTTAATTTCATGACTATCCTTCTCATGGGGTTTTGGGGTTTTGGGGTTTTGGGG